ATAATTACTTCACATTACGATTAATACACACGCACACACATACACACACATACATTCATATATATATATATATATATATATATATATATATATATATATATATATATAGGGGTTGTGTACGTGTATAAAATAGGATATAGAATCCCGACAAAGATTTGAAGAAATTTGACAAATAGAAAACCGTATCATTCAAACTAGATTTGATTACGGTCTAATAATATACATCGATTATGTTTATTATATATATATATATATATATATATATATATATATATATATATATATATTCAAACAGGTTAGTTAGATAATCTAGATATATCATGTCAATTTATTTTGGTTGTGATCCTTTCAAGTTCACGGATTAGTTTTGGGAGCCTTAGAAAATTGATTAAGAACAATACCAAAATTTTCTTTCAAATAGTTTTTATTTTACCAAGTACTTTCAATCCCATCTGAAACCATTCTCAGAGAGTTAAATTCTCTGTGAATGTGAATATGTATTTTTGTAAATTCAAAACATTTAAAGTTTTCTTTTTACTGTTGTGTTCTAGATTTCCAAATTCAAGTGTTTTTTTTTCACCTTATAAGGGGGATAACTTTTATCATTTTATTTATTAATTTATTTATTATTTTGGTATGTTAATAAACTAGCTAAGTCAAAATTCCCTGTGTTGAAGTTCATTCATGTCTGAACTCAAACTTACTTGCGATCACGTGAGAGGACACAACATATGAGTGAATCGACGCCATTGCTCCAAGACCTCCCAGCATGAGGGGGGCTACACAACATATATAGACAATCGTACACTGACAAAGTAGAAAAATTTTGTGTAACGCGACGCGTTTCGAAGGACTACATCGGTCTATAAATTAATGTTTTTATTGAGATGTAATTATGCGTAGGAGGGGGGAGAAAAATATAAAAGCGAGGTTATAATTGTATACTGAGGGGGAGAAATGCCAAACATATGGAAAAAAAGTTATTATTTTAAATTTAAAAGTTTTGAGTTTTAAATTTTGTGTTTAAAATTTTTTCATCGGACGTGTCTAGGCCACATAAACTATTCGATCTCATTCTTTTTCCGTACACTTTTCTTTCTGTTTTTATCGTTTACATTTTCACCACTCCCTTCTAAGCATATATAAATCCATCTCCTCATGGGGTGCCTCATACTTTCGGCCTTGTGCCATATCTAAGCTACTTAAATCCATCTATAAATGCATTACTTTAGTACAATGAAGAATCTTTCCATTATCTGACATTTCTGACATTGACGCGATATCCAGAAATTTATATATCATATTGTACACACTTATTTTACACTTATATATCATATTTTATACACTCATTTTACACTTATATATCATACTTTATACACTCATTTTACACATATATCATATTTTATACACTCATTTTACACTTATATTTCATATTTTATACACATATTTTACACATATCGTATGTTTCTACACTTATTTTACACTTATATATCATATTTTATACACATTTTACACTTATATATATTTTACAGATTTATTTTATACTTATTACACTTATATATATTATTTTACACACTTATTTCACACTTATATATCATATTTTATACACTTATTTTACACTTATATATCATATTTTATACCCTCTTTTACCCTTGTATAAAATATATTACACACTTATTTTACACTTCATTATTTAAATTATTTGAACTATTGTCCTAATCTTTGTCGCCATATTTATTTCAACGTTTCAGCCGTTGTACGCTCCGGCCTTCTTCAGCTGGTTGGAAGGTCAAACTGAACCCTTTGCTTCACCTTCTGATCTTTCAATCTATTTAATTTTTGTACTTGACGAGCCTTGACTGCATCGAATTCATGTCTGAAGGATTTATCCAGGTCATTTTGGATCCTTCTCTGGTCTTCTTCATTAGTAATTCTGTTGAAGAAATCCTCGAGCCTCTGGAAGATATGAACTTGTAGTCTCCGTTTTATCCAACGATTGTACTGGATTCTCTCTCAGACAAGGGCGTGTCCCGCTTTTTCTGCGACCAGACGGGCTCTCCTTGAATTGATAGGAAGTCTTGGTGCCAAGCCTGAAGTTGTAGATCTCTGCATCGGTGTCAGATGGTTCGATATTCGAACCAGTTTCTGGTAGGATTTTTCAATTTGTCTTCATATTTTTGGTATATCGGGTCCGTACCGATCCTTCAGTATTTGTCTATATTTCTGAGATGAGGTATTATGTACATTATTTACATTATTCGGACTATTGTCCTCATCTTTGTCGCCATATTTATTACAACTTTTCGGCCATTGTACCCTCCGGTGTTATTTTACACTTATTATTCATATTTTACTCACTTATTTTACACTTACATATCATATTTTACAGACTTATTTTACACTTACATATATTTTACACACTTATTTTACACTTACATATCATATTTTACACACTTATTTTACACTTATATATCACATTTTACACACAAACACACACACACGTATACAGAGTAGGATGGGTAAATTATCGTCTAAATTACATAAAAATGAAATAGCACTGACATCACATTTTAACCGATATATTTACCAAAATTACGCAAAAATATCTTGAAATACTTTAGTATTTCTAGATATTTTTGCGTAATTTTATTACATTTTAGTACATTTATTCGATAAAATCGCCACTGGTTTTAACTATACGCCTCCAAACGACTTCGGAATCTCCTGCAACTGTTTTGGGCGGTTTCCTTGTTTAAGTTGGTGAATGCTGCCATAATCCTTGCCTTCAATTCATCTTTGGTATTACAATGAGCTTTGTTCATCTCTCGCTCAACTGCGCCCCCACACATAATGATCAAAGGGGTTGCAGTCTAGGGAGTTAGGTGGCCAGATGTAAAAGGTGATGTGGTTGTAGAAATTGTCTGACAGGTATGACAAGTATGAATTGGTCCTCCTGTTTGTGTGGCATGGTGCAGAGGACTGTTGCTAGATATAGTGTCTTCCAGTAACCTCCCTCTAACCAAGGGCAGCATTACCTCCTCAACAACCGCTTGCAACAATGGTTAGCAAGCTTGTCTAGCTAGAACAATTAGAATTGAGTAGTGAGTTTGATCCTCACTGGCTACTCCATGCTTTGTATCACATCTAAGCTACGCTTAGAAAATTACCAAACATGCTGAAAGCTCTAACCCCAATCCATTTCCTCAAATCTAAGCAAGATTCAAAATTCTTTAAAAGCCTCTTCTATTCGAGCCAATAACTTTCCGGCACCCTCTTTTAAATCTACATGAAAGTAACAAAAGTACATTTAACAAAATTTGCAAAAGTAAAGTTAAAGTAACAAAAGTATAGTTAAAGTAATAAAAGTACACTTAAAGTAACAAAAGTATAGTTACAGTAATAAAAGTACACTTAAAGTAACAAAAGTATAGTTAAAGTAATAAAAGTACACTTAAAGTAACAAAAGTATAGTTAAAGTAATAAAAGTACACTTAAAGTAACAAAAGTATAGTTAAAGTAATAAAAGTACACTTAAAGTAACAAAAGTATAGTTAAAGTAATAAAAGTACACTTAAAGTAACAAAAGTATAGTTAAAGTAATAAAAGTACACTTAAAGTAACAAAAGTATAGTTACAGTAATAAAAGTACACTTAAAGTAACAAAAGTATAGTTAAAGTAATAAAAGTACACTTAAAGTAACAAAAGTATAGTTAAAGTAATAAAAGTACACTTAAAGTAACAAAAGTATAGTTAAAGTAATAAAAGTACACTTAAAGTAACAAAAGTATAGTTAAAGTAATAAAAGTACACTTAAAGTAACAAAAGTATAGTTACAGTAATAAAAGTACACTTAAAGTAACAAAAGTATAGTTAAAGTAATAAAAGTACACTTAAAGTAACAAAAGTATAGTTAAAGTAATAAAAGTACACTTAAAGTAACAAAAGTATAGTTAAAGTAATAAAAGTACACTTAAAGTAACAAAAGTATAGTTAAAGTAATAAAAGTACACTTAAAGTAACAAAAGTATAGTTACAGTAATAAAAGTACACTTAAAGTAACAAAAAGTATAGTTAAAGTAATAAAAGTACACTTAAAGTAACAAAAGTATAGTTAAAGTAATAAAAAGTACACTTAAAGTAACAAAAGTATAGTTAAAGTAATAAAAGTACACTTAAAGTAACAAAAGTATAGTTACAGTAATAAAAGTACACTTAAAGTAACAAAAGTATAGTTACAGTAATAAAAGTACACTTAAAGTAACAAAAGTATAGTTAAAGTAATAAAAGTACACTTAAAGTAACAAAAGTATAGTTAAAGTAATAAAAGTACACTTAAAGTAACAAAAGTATAGTTAAAGTAATAAAAGTACACTTAAAGTAACAAAAGTATAGTTACAGTAATAAAAGTACACTTAAAGTAACAAAAGTATAGTTACAGTAATAAAAGTACACTTAAAGTAACAAAAGTATAGTTAAAGTAATAAAAGTACACTTAAAGTAACAAAAGTATAGTTAAAGTAATAAAAGTACACTTAAAGTAACAAAAGTATAGTTACAGTAATAAAAGTACACTTAAAGTAACAAAAGTATAGTTACAGTAATAAAAGTACACTTAAAGTAACAAAAGTATACTGAATGAAAATTAGATATATAGGCCTATGAACTGAGATATATACACATAAAACTATAGTCATAAATCAATGTTCAAAAGAAAACAGATTGATTGATTCGTTTTCTACGGCTCACCAATTCTATGCAGATTATTTAAAGCCAGGAAGTTATTTTTAGATTTTAAGAATTTTTTTTTTTTAAGTAATAATGATTTAGTTATACAATTCGTATTAAGTGATCTATAGCTAAGGTGAAGAAGATGTGGATTTATACATTTCTCAAGGGTTTTTGCACATAAGTAAATATAAGGAACCCAACAAGAACTAACAATACCATTACACCATTATTATTATCCATTACGCCAACAGCACATCCAAGCTTATAGCTTGATATTTGCAAGCGATCACCCATCTAAGTACTGACCAGGTTCAGCGTTGCTTAACTTCGATGATCGTACGAGAACCGGTGTTTCAATGTAATATAATTGTAAGCCTTACATACGTACGTACATTTATATAATAAATACGAATATCAGTGTCAATGCGTTACATTTTTCAATTAAAGGGACACAACTCTCAATATCTCATCTGCTATATAATAAATGCCAATGTCAGTGTGTCACACTTTTTCCAATGAAAAGGACACAACTCTCAATAACTCATCTTCTATATAATAAATGCCAATATCAGTGTGTCACTGCGTCACCCTTTTTCAATTAAAGGGATACAACTCTTAATAGCTCATCTTCTGACATTCGCATTTATTATAATAAATGCGAATGTCAGTGTGTCACACTTTTTCAACTTTACTCCTAGAGGCCGTAGCCCAGCATATCATACCATTTTGGAATCAGACCGAATCCATAAGCAAATTAAAAACATTCCGGGTCGGATCTGGACCCGCAATCCTGAAATTTTGGATTCCCAAGTTTTCATAACTGCTATTGTCTTCGGCGATATTTTACGTGATTTTTTGCGACATATCTTTTGTACGATAACAATTTTTATGACTTGGAAATAAATTTGGGAATAATCGAAATTAATTCAAAAATCACCCATGAAATAAGAATAATTGTTTGTATAGAAAGTAAGGATCTACGTACATCAAATTCTCTTTAAATTAAGTGGAGACAGAAGAATTATCGTTGAACTTTTAAAAGATAAGCTTAAATATTAATGCAATACTTAAATGTAGCGATCAATTTTGACTTCTGTAATTTATTGTTCCCTATCGCATCTACTCATCCCTACCTATTGTGATGAAGGCTCAATCAAGAGCCCTCCACAGGAGCTAGCTTAAATGCCGCCCGATAAGGTGACTTTTAAGCTGGGATACAGGATAAGTCAACAGCGCCGACTGATCGCCGGGACAACTCAGGACTGAGACAACTCAGGACCGAGACAACTCAGCACCAGAAAAACATAACTTTTTTTATAACAAACTAAAAGTAAGTTATTATGGATTAAAACCTTAATTAGTGAATATTTTTCTTCAAATAAGGTATTTGATAAAGCATTATGTAAAATATAAACCTGTTTTTTGAATTTATTTTTTTAATACAGTAAATAGTAAAGAAATTTATTTTTTAATAAAGTAAATAATTTCAATAATTCACAACATTAAATGTTATAGTATTTTTTTTATAAAAATATTTTAGAATTTCAATTTTCTTTATTAAAAAATAAATTACATTATGATGTACTTTATTAAAATAATTAAAAACAAAAAACTGGTTCATATTTTACATAGTGCCTTATTTAAAGAAAAATATTCACTAATTAAGGTTTTAATCCTTAATAAATTACTTTTGTTTGGTTATAAAAAAAAAGGTTATGTGTTTCTGGTGCTGAGTTGTCTCGGTCCTGAGTTGTCTCAGTTCTGAGTTGTCCCTTCCCGATCTTTTCAAACTTGCAGTTTTGCTTGGATTGTATGAATCTCATTTTTATATTTTGAATTATTTTTCTTTGAATTAAAAAATATATGTTACTTATTTACTTTATTAAAAAATACATTTCTTTACGATTTACTTTATTAAAAATGATTAAAAACAAAAGACTGGTTCATATTTTACATAATGCCTTTTCAAATGCCTTAGTTGAACAAAATATTCACTAATTAAGGTTTTAATCTTTAACAAATTACTTTTATTCGGTCATATGAAATTTTGTTTTTCTGGTGCTGAGTTGTCTCAGTTCTGAGTTGTTCCGGCAATATTCAGTCGGCAGTGTTGAGTTGGCGGTTTTGAATTGTTCCGTCTCGACATTTATATACACATGTACATATAATAAACACATAATTGTTATATATACGCGCACATAAAAACCTATATGCAAACGCATCCAAGTTCAAGACAACTTACATTAAGAGATATGTTCCCCGTCGACAGAGAGGTTTGACAGCCAGCATATATTGGTAGTTGAATCTGTGCTGTCAATATTGTCTTCATCTCGATCCTTGACTGACAGAACATTTCATTCCGACAATTCTTCCAATAGCTCTGTTACAAGATTCACGTTCAAACCTTTCTTAAATGGATACGTAAGTTTTCTAAAAGCACTGGTCACTTTCTCTAAAATCAATGGAAATAATAATTCAGCAGACCATCTCTTTGTACATTTACTTATATATATTTTGCTTGTCTTTGTCAAGACGGTAAGGGATTCGTTGTCTACGACAAGTGAATCACCTGTTGAATTTGGAAGCACTTTTCATATGTATGTCGGAATCATCACAATATAATCGAAATGTGAGTACGTCGATGGCTGTGAAGAAAACACAAATAATTCATAACATTCAAGATTTTAAGAAAATAAAGTTAGGCTTCAAAAAAAAAGAAAATGTTTCTAATAAAATTCCTTCTGATTGATTTCTACCCAACCACCTAGAAACTTAAAAAAAAGAATAAATGCGCCGACAAGTGCGATATTCTGTCTTCCTGAATTCTGTTCTTTTATTGTCCTTTTCCTTACTTCTCTTCACTAAAGTCTTCGCATTCTCTTTTACTCTATGTAACCCTCTACGTCCTCGTAGCATTATCGCTTTGCTTGGAGTGAAATGACAAACAGAAAAAGAAAAAAAAAACAATGAACAGGTAAATGAAATTCACTAGAAACCTGTAGATTAATAAGAAAATATTGAATTTTTACTTTTATCTTTCGATGAACGTAATAATTCATCCCTTTTTATTTATATACCTTGTCCCTTCAGAACGTGGATGATTAAGGCTCTTCACAACTTCCTATCTATTGTAGATCTTTAATATTTATATTTTTACTATACCACCAACTCCTTGTTTTGTCATCCATTTACACAAGCTCATTATGGAGGTTACTCGCTGTTTCTCTCTGTCTCTTTTGTCTTCAGTATGCCCTGTGAGTGTCAAATTCTCTAAGTCCTCTTTTCTCATTATGTCTCCTAGAAACTGGCTTTTATTTCTGATTCAATGTAAAAGTATCTTTTTAACTGCATTTTCTTTAAAACTTCCTTATTGATAGTACATGATATTTTCAATATCCTCCTGTAGAATGACATCTCTATTAACTTCAGTCTCCTCTTTATCTGTGAGAAAAATGTCCAGCATTCACAGCCATTTAGGGGGACTGATATTATATAACACTTCAATACACTTTTCTTTGTTTCTAACAAAATTCTTCTATTTCTTAATACTTTATTTTAGCTTTTCAAAAGCATATTTTGCTCTTCCAACGCTTCTTCCGTTGTTGGTGTCGTATTTTCTATTGGTCTATGAAAGCACTAACCAGATATTTAACACATTACCTGCCATGAGCTCCATTAGGGGATCTGTTAAAATTAAACTCACTACATGTTATTACTTGTATTTACATACATTGCATTTGCAGAGGTATATTTTACAACACTTAGCCTTTAAAGTTTTTTATTATTAGCCGTAAGAAGATACTTTCTGTCGTAATTTTACATTTCACGAGTAGAAAAATAATGACTATTTTGAAAAATATTTTTTAATATTTCTAATCAATATAATTTTATGATGTTTTATACACGTATATATTTGATGTTCTAGTTTATATAAAAATGACAATGGTAACTACTGAAATTAAACATAAGGAATAAATAAACTCCTAAGACACATGTCTGGACCAAAAATGAACATTAAAAAAATTTGGCAGTTAATGGATTAAATATCTTTCCTTGCTTGATTTTGACAGCTTGTATCATGGGTTGTCTGAAAAGTAATGGGACTGGTGTCACAAATAATTTATTTCAATTCCTACAAACTACTTGGTTTTCCCTTCAAAGTAATAACCCTAGAGTCTAATGTTCTTTTCCGTCATTCTCTGCCATGTTTCCATGCACTGCTGGAAGAATTCTTCTTGGATGCCCCTCATCTCTGTCGTTACGACCCTCTTGATGGCCTCTGCGCCTTTCAAAACCGGATCCCTTTGAGCTTAAAGAAAAGAAAAAAGTCACACGGAGCAAGACCATGTGAATAGGGAGGTTGTTCCCAGTACGGTGATCTTCTTCTCGGCCAGGAACTGCCGGATTCTCATGGCGTTGCGAACACTTTCATTATCATGGTGAAGCAGACACGATTTGTCCTGCCACAACTCTCTTCTCTTCTCGTGCACTAACCAAAGCAAACGTCATAGGATCTCTTTGTAGATCTGCTGATTGATCGTCTGGCGCCTGTGGTAAGTACTCACTGTTGACGATGCCTTTCACATAGAAGAATGGATAAGTCCCATAAGAGACTTTCTATATACTACCTTCTTAAAATTAATGGTTGGTTCTTTTTCGTTATTTTCTTTACTACCTTGTCTAGGAGATTTTTCTTATTTTCTTTCTGTATCTGCCATCAATACGGTTTGGTTTGGTTTGAGTTGTTTTGTTTTACGGTATATCACCCTCAATGGGTTATTTAATGTCGACAATTTCTTTTTTTAATATTTTTCTATTCAAAAATCTATTGCTGGTAATATTTTTTTCAAAAATCTATTGCTGGTAAATCTATTGCTGGTAATAATGTATTGCTGGTATTAAAACCTATTTTCATAGTTTTGAGCCCTTTTAGGGAGGGTTAACTATTTGCCCATAGCGGGGACCCTAATAGGTGCAACCACCCCTGGTAAGGGTGAACCTGGGAACACCAGCAGTTAAGAGGTTGTTCCACGCTCCTCAAAACCTTCCTGATCAGAGACCCTGTTGTCGGATGTAGTTTCTCAAGAATAATGCCCACTGCGGGTACCCCCGGGCGCTATACTTGAACCTACGTTTTTCCTTATCTGCATCAACGACATTCCCTATGTCATCAATTTCCAATTAGGTATTTATACTAATGACACAAATATTTAATCTTGTCTTATTAGCATGTGTTAAGAGAATCTATAAACTTCTGGATCATTTAGATAAAAGACTTCAAAGAATACTTTGACGTAGACGGATGACCTTATAATTGGGCGGGGGAGGTCTTTCGTCTGGGTATTCGTATTTGTTGGT